GCTCAGAACCCTGAGTCCACTCTTTGGGGATGGCTGACTTAGGAGAGAATCCTACACAAGTGCTTATGTGGAGCTCTTTCCTGTCAGCTAACAAGATTTCTGCCCAGACACTTCAGGGAATCTTGTATGTGTGTAAATAGACTCTATCCACCAAAACAATATATTGTAAGCAGTCAGCCAAGGAGCACAGATATTTGAAGACAGGTTAAAATGAAATTATCAGAGACAGACAGAGGTGCAGGGAGGGGAGAGAGGGAGGAAGAGATAAGGGAGAGAGACTTATAGAAAAGTACAACAAGTAGTTAAGAATACTGAAAGTAAAAATACTGTATATGGGTCACGCAGTGGTGGCACACACCTTTAATCCCAGCACTTGGGAGGCAGAGGCAGACAGATCTCAGTGAGTTTGAGGCCAGCCTAGTCTACAAAATGAGTTCCAGGACAACCAGGACTGTTACACAGAGAAACTAGGTCTCAAAAAAAAAATACTATATGTGTATTACTGTCAAGGAGAAAATGAAAGAAACTATACCCAAGAAAGAAGACCACAATGCTGATTTTAAAATAAGTAGAACTCCTGGAAATTAAATATGCTGTAGTATACTTTAACACTCAAAAGACCTGGGCATTCGAGTAAAGGAAATTTCTAAGAAAGAGGCAGGAAACACTAGAGAAAAAATAGGCAGTTGCTTCACAATCCTCCATACTCAACTGACTGAAATTCAGAGAGGGAAAATAGAAGTAAGAAAAACCTGAAAGGTAGAACTAGAAAATTCTGCAGATTGCAGGAATATAAATACCTCAGAAAAGGATGAAAAGAGCATGCTCTGCTACACCATGGACTATCTGGGCTCAGAGGGGAGAGGACCCTCCAGGTCAGCAGGAGGAAAGCCAAAAGCAGGTGGAAGACTGAGTCTTAGCAGGGTTTGTATTCCATGGGCACAGTGGCAGTTTGGGAGTGGGCAGACCTGAATGTTTCCAGTATTTTGTAATTGGATATGTCTCCTCTGTATCTATGTACAATGTACTAAGATAAAGACATTCTTAGATTCAAAATCTCAAAAATCTTCATGTATAGTGTGTTCCATAAACAGTGGATCAATAGAACATAAAAAGCTAATTTCCTGGATGTTCAGCTAAGAAAAGAGAATTAGGTGGCAAGCCTGTTTTCCCAGGCAGGAGGCAGTGGGACAGTGCGAAGCTTTGTCTTTAAGGAGCTGGACCCAGGGGAAAACCTAAGAACTGTTTGTTTTCTGTGTAAGAATTTCAGATCACAGTTGACTTCCGGTAACAGAAACCGAACCTGTTGGTGAGGATGGAGTCCTGGGCCGCTAGAGAGTGGAGGCTGATTGAAGTCTCAGACTGTAGTGTCAGGGGCACTCTGGAGCAGAAAATCAACCCCTTCTCTGTGTGTCCAAGAACTGAGTCTCCATCTTCTGGAGCAGAAAGACAGCACTCTAGCACGTGCAAATCAAGACAGCATAGCGACCTTACTCTGTGGTGAAATAGTGAGTTCTAAAGGAAGGTGTTTTCTGTGGGTGCTGCTGGAGTGGAGATGGGAACCAAGACTCGCGGACAGCTAAGCTTTGAAGGGCTGTTTGAGTTCCTGTTTGGCCCACTCTTTATGTGCAATATACCAAAGAACTTTGAAAATACAGGAGATTGTTGTGATATATTACATATATAAAAAGCATCACTTTACAAAGAGAAAACTAAAGGTTAGAAAAAAAAGATATGCCAGCTGTTAGTACTTTATCTGAACAAAATGATTTTTCTGCCTTTTGTTTCCATATACATTTTAAACTTTTTGCAATAAAAGTGTATTACTGATAAAATTTATACATGTTTTACAGATGCACACACCTCTAGTCAAGAAAAAGGGTTTTTTTGTAGCATGGTGCTATATTGTACTACTCATGAAGCATGCTTTAATTATTAAATCAAAGAGTACCCACGGCAGGCCTGAGTTACTAAAGGGTGGCAGTATGCTCAGGATCCAGCCCTGGAAAGGTCTAGGAATGTTTGGACAGGACTTGGCTATGAATAACTGAAGACATAAAAAAGTGAAGCCATCCTCTGCACCGAGGCCCCTCCTCTTTTTTTTTTTTTTTTTTTTTTTTTTTTTTTTTTTTGAGATCTTCGGATCTTAGAATAACCTTTAATATAGTTCCTACATGTCAAGGAGAAAAACGAATACAACTGTATCAAAGTGGGTTCAAGTTGAAGTCGAAAAGAAGAGTTTAAGCATTATCTTAAGCTAGGGTAGCTACAGCAATACCCATTTTTCTTGGGAAAAAAAAGGATGTACAGTACAGAATGACTCCATGTGATAAAGTGAGTCATAAAAGAGCAATTTGTCAGGCGGTGGTGCCTTTAGTCCCAGCACTTGGGAGGCAGAGGCAGGCAGATCTCTGTGAGTTTGACACCAGCCTGGTCTACAGAGTGAGTTCCAGGAAAGGCTCCAAAGCTACACAGAGACACCCTGTCTCGAAAAAACAAACAAACAAACAAAAAAAAAAAACGGAGCAGTTTCAGTGCAGAGCAAAAGCATGGTTATCCTGTTCACAGAAAAATGTATGGTAAACCAAGTACCATTTGGGGGAAGTGAACAGTGAGTTACTCAAGTTACTCTTGCAAGGCAAGTATAGTTTACAGGATGAAAGTGTCATTTTCCACAGTTCCTTCATATGTGGATGTAAGCATAAAGGTCATTTATGAGCTTTATGACAAATCATATGAAGCATGTATGACTCAAAACTGGCCAATATGTAGTACCTGTCCAAGTGTTGATTTGTCTGCAATTACAAGCTTTCTTGAGGATGTAAATATACACCTCTACAATGTGGTTAATTGAAATAACATATAAAAAATAAAACCCTAACTTTACATTATTTCTATTTTTATAGAGTATTATTTTGCCTAATTGTTCATATTTTTTATGTAAAAGATATAATATTTTCAGAAGAACTAGAAGAAGAAATAACAGAATTTTTTTTTTTTTTTTTTTTTTTTTTTTTTTCCCCTTTTCTATTTTAATAAAAAGGAAAAAAAAGAAAAAGGTTATAACTAACAAAAGAAAAACTATATACAAAAGTACAATGACTATATACAATATATACAAGTAATAAATGTCTAAACAATGTCTAGTCCATTTGTATTTGACAAATTCAGAGAAAATAATTTCATTATCTATCCTATTTTGTTAAGTCCAAAATGTATCTAATTCACTTTCTATCCTAATTAATCTTCAACTATAACTAACTAACCTTCAACTATAACTAACTAATCTTCAACTCCCTCAGAGACCCAAGAAGGAAATAATATTAGCTAACAAAAATAAAAACAGAAAGTGCATGTAAGCAACTTCCAAAAAATTTGTGAGTTGACAGAAACAGCCAGCTGCCTGGACAGTCACCTGAGGTTTCTCCACAGTGTTGGGGCATCATCTTCAGCCTATAGGCTTAGCATATCTGACAGACTCATTTGTGAAGTAGGATGTACACAAGGTCGACAGTTCAACCTCACATTGGGTGAGAGCAGTCCATGTACCAGAAACACCTGAATTCCACTAGTGTCATGTCATGATTCAGGATTTTAAATTCTGGAAATTGTTGTTGATTTTTTAATTCAGCTGTCCATTCTTGGCTGTGTATATATGGCTTCATCTTAACATCCCGTTCTTCTCCACATCCCTCTGTCAAATGCCAGTTTACTATTGCGAGGCGTGAGCTTAGTTACTCTTCAAGAATAACTGTTACAGCTGCTGTTCCATTGCACATCAGAAGCCATCGGCCCACTGCCTATTCAGCTGCCTTCGAAGAAAAGGGCACTGTACCTTTTCCAAATTGCGAAGGCCACTTCAGGGATGGTGCCATATTGTCCTGGCCTCAGAAGATGCCTTTTGATAAAGCCATAACCACACTCGTTTTGGCAAGAATCAGTAGTCCTTTGTTTCATGTCCTGTCTGTCCATTTTGTCAGCAGTTGATTCAAGGATACTTTGTTGTCCAGTGGCTAACTTTTGCCACAATGAAAGTTAACTCCATATGCAGTTTCTTCAATGCCCATATTTTCTCTGAAGTAGATTGGTACTGCCAGGAGCCGACATGTCTCATAATCATAACAAAAAAGAAAAATTTTCTAAGTTATTAAAACATTTTAAATGCCATATTCTGTAGATCTCTGAAGGGTTTGAAGATGACCTGTCTAAAATATATCTGCTCAATTTTTAAAACATATCTAATATGACTACAACTTCTATTGTAATGTCTAACTACTAACTTTCATTTCTTTTTTTTTTTTTATTAATTTATTTTGCAATACAATTCAGTTCTACATATCAGCCACGGATTCCCTTGTTCTCCCCCCTCCCGTCCCCCTCACCTTCCCCTCAACACCCCCCCCCCATTCCCATCTCCTCCAGGGCAAAGCCTTCCCCACAGACTGAGGTCAACCTGGTAGACTCAGTCCAGGTAGGTCTAGTCCCCTCCTCCCAGGCCGAGCCAAACAATCCTGCATAGGCCCCAGGTTTCAAACAGCCAACTCATGCAATGAGCACAAGATCTGGTCCCACTGCCTGGGTGCCTCCCAAACAGATCAAGCCAATCAACTGTCTCATCCATTCAGAGGGCCTGATCCAGTGGGGACCCCTCAGCCATTGGTTCATAGTTCATGTGTTTCCATTCATTTGGAGGCCCCTCCTCTTAAATGAATTCCAATCAAGTGAGAATGAACTAATGATAACTTGGACTGCAAGGAGGAAGGGAAGAGAATCGAGTCCTTCAGGAGCAAAGAACTGTAACCGGTGGATCACAGACAAAAACCTATTCTACTTTCAACTGTGAACACTGCTCTGACACCTGATAGACAGTGTTACAATGTCATTGTCATCCTCCCTGAGCCAGAGCTGGACATAATGTGGCTCATGCTGGCCCTGGGATGTCCACATGTGTTCCTTGTACAGACCAACTAATCCTTGTTGTCCTTTATGGTGCTTCCCAGGCCTCACTCAGCTCACAGGCTGATCTACAGAAGAAGAAGCGGCGGGCGCCAGCTCCTCCTCCACAGCCACCGCCACCAAGTCCTGTGGTCCCCAGCCGCAAGGAGGATAAGGAAGAGAACAGGAAGAGTACAGTGGGTGAGTTGAGTGTGGCCTGCTGTGTGCATGTCTCTGGGATGCCTGCTTTAACACGGTTCTTTAGCACTGTTGTTAACCCTGGCAGTGAACTCCTTGTTAATTATATTAACCCAGAAAACATGTATGCTAAAGAAAGAAAGTCTGGAAATGATTAGCTCTGAATTCCCTTAATATCTTATTTACACGGAGGAAGGCGTCGCGGAGGCGAGGATGGTAGGAAGGGTGGCTGGTGGCTAGAGAACCCCAGAACCCCAGGAGAAAGTGATGAATGGAGCTCAGGGTGTGAGTGGCTATGGCAGGTGTCTCTGGAGGATGTCTGTAGAGGCTGCTTGAAAAGTGTTTGTCATTTGAAAGCTATCTTAGACCCCTCGTGGTGTATACAGGTTGTGCATTCTGAATTTGAATGTCTGAAATTCTTCATAATCTGAAACTGGTCGAGCACCAGCATGATGCCACAAATGGAAAAACCTGCACCATGGAGCTTGGTTTCATGAACAAAATTATTTAAAAATTACATGAAATTACCTTCAGATTCTATATACAAGGTATATATTAATTATAAATGAATTTCTTATTTAGGTTTGAGTTCCATTCCCTAAGATACCTCATCATGTATATGCAAATGTTCTAAAATGAGAAAAATCTGAACTCCAAAACACATCTGCCTTTGGATATCAGTCAGTGAGTTCCTACTTGAAAATAGTCCCCATTTATATACTGTTTATGCATTTAGTAAAGCCCCCATGTTGCGAGTAAGAGAACACAAAGAATCAGGCTGGAGTCCTGAAACCTGTAATCAAGGAGTAATCTGTGATGTCATTCTACCACACCCTCATGTGCTGGAGACCATGGAGGGGAGATGCTAAGGGCTGGACTTCCTGGGTCCATGAACCTTAGGAGACTCATTTGAGTTTCAAATCTTTCAGCATCAGCTATCTCACTGCAGTAGGATATCTCACTTGCAGCTTTAGAGACTCCCATAGGTACATCAGAGCTGAAACCATGAGGCAACCATGCCCATTCACTGACTCAGGCCGCCCATTGTTTCCCTATTGACAACGGGTCTGTGGCCCCAAAGGGACAATACTCCCAAAGATAAGTGGTTGCATTGTCAAGTTCTGAAATTTTAATAAGGGTGACTTGGCTGTTTGTCAGCATTTTTTCGCTTTAGTCAGTACTTTCCTTTTAATGCCTGGCCTTTCACAGCCTGGGAATCAATTACCCTAAGAAGTAATAACCTGCATTTTATATATCAGTTCATCCCATTTCCCAAAGGAATATAATATCAGAATGAAAAACAAGGGCTGAAGAGACAGCTCAGAGATAAAGGCTCCTGCCACCAAGCCTAGCACCCTGTGTGTGATTCTTGGAACCCACATGTAAAAGGAGAGAACTCCCACAGGCTGTCCTCTGATATCCACATGTCACTCATGCCCTGACCCATGCACATGTATATGTGCGTGTGTGAACACACACACACACGATAGATAGATAGATAGATAGATAGATAGATAGATAGATAGATAGATGATAGATAGATAGATAGATAGATAGATAGATAGATAGATAGATAGATAGGAAAATGGAATGACCTGGGGTCCATATTGGACATGAGATCAGCCAGTGCCCACAGATGGCAGCAGGGATTAGGTGTCTAGACCTGAGAACTGAGCTAACATCCCTTCCCTGATAGTGCAAAGAGAAGATGTGGATAGTAGCAGTTTGCCATACTTCCCCTACCTGCTCTGTAACTTGTTGGTGGATACAAGAAAGCCAGACAGAATCCCTTTCTTTCTAAAAAATATTGTTACCCTTTGAGGGCAGGAGTGGTAGACAAGGTCTTGAGAAGCTGAATTTCCCTCCCGATCAGAAGAATCCATAAATTAAGAGGATATCCACAACACCCCACAAACCTCAGCAACAAAATCTAGGTATCAGGTTAGAAGGAAGACAGAAAGAAGATTCTTCACACACACACACACACACACACACACACACACACACACACACACACTGCATGTTGCACACATACACACGTGTACACAAAGTTGATTTTTCTACTCAGACATCTAGATTTTAAAAAGCAAGAATTATTTTTGGAACATGAAGTAAAATAATATTGCAGTTCCCTTCCTTTGGGTCAAGGGTCTAATTTATTAGAAATCACAAATAAATCTTGGCACGGGGAGCATCCTTCCAGTCTGCCTTACTCCCATGGTGTAACCTTATGTGTGCTTCCTCCCACATAAGGCTGCTCGCCAGGGGCCACCAACAGCATCACTCAGACTGATTTGCACTTTGGGGAAGAGATGACTTTAGCATGAGGAAGTCAGTATTTTCCTACATCTAGAGAACCAGATCCAAAGAGGGGATACATGAGTCTATCTCTTAGTGAAGAGCATATTTCTCAATATTTTAGTTGTATGGCGAAGGGCATAAACCATAGGCTATATTATTAGAAGATTCTAAACTGTACATCTTGAAGAAAGTATTTTTAAAAACACAGCAGTAAACATGAATTATGACATGGTAATTTATGTCATGTATGAACTTAAGCGATTGGCTTTCACAAAAATCACTAGTATAAGAAATCTGTTTTCACATAAAATTGTAAATGTATCCCGACATGTAACAAACAGAAAGGGGCTTCTCTGATTCTTGATACAAAGTACAGGTGGACTGCACACTTCTAGCTCTTTCTGCAACCTGGAACCCACTTCAAAAGAAAATTTGAAGACTTTGGTCCTAAAAAAAATGAAAGAAGTTGATAGTGAGGTAGTCTCAAAAGTAAGTGAACGAGATCTGTGAGCCTGTAAAAGGCCAATGTGAGGAATAGTCTCATTTCAACTGTGCTGCCTCCAGGGCTCTCTCAACTTGTTTCCGGGCCAGCATTTATGAAATTGTGCCTGACAGACACAAATGGCTACCAACCAAGCAAATCTTTCCAAATTATAGCTGACAGTAAAACACTGTGTATATGAAATGTTTAAGCATGGAGATGGTTGGCTGTGGTGTACAACTGGGTGAGTGACTTTGAAATGGGGTGTGGCTGGCTTGATGTAGAGTGAACTGGGATTTGGCATTGAATGTGACTTGTTTGGTACAGACTGAGGCTGGATTTGAAATTGAATGTGGCTGCTTTGGTATTTGACTTGGTATTAGCTGTGATTTGTTTAGTGTTAGATTTGGTGTTGGGCGTGACTGCTTTGGTATAAAATTTGATGTTGTGTGTGTGTCTGCTTTGTTGTTGGATTTGGTGTTGCATATGGCTGGTTTGAGGCATAGTGGTGTGAGCTATGGTATTGATTATGACTGGTTTTGTGTCTGGTGAGCAATGGCAATGTGCCCTTGGTTAGAAGACAGGACATCCTTTGGCTTAACCTTTGAATCCTTCCTATTGATTCCATGTAGGTGTTGGACGTCAGGTGCCACAAAAGCCTCCCAGAGGCACAGCCCGGGGCCCACCCCAGTTAGTGCTCCCCCCGCCCCCACCCTACCCTCCTCCTGACACAGATGTGACAGAGCCTGTCACCTTTCCTGGGGAAGGCGCTGGTTCCGAGACCTCAGAGCTGAGACCCAAACGTACGTGCCTCTTGTTTTCCATCCCAGCTATGTGTTGACCATCTGTCTTTCTGGTCGCTACTGGTATGAATATGTTTCCAGACATTCCCTTCTTGCTTTTGGAAATCTGTACCTTTCCTTTTCAAATTTCTTTCCAAATGCTCAATGCAATGCATCTAGCTTCACAGAGAATGCACTGTGAATGCCACACAGTGGCCTGTAAGAATGATGCAGTGAATCAGTTGTTCCTACTGCCTCTAGACTTTAGCTAAAGATGTGTTTGTGGGTGTACCACCAGGAAGGAGCTGATGCTCTTGGTGTTGGGAGTTCCCTCAGAATGTGGGCAGAGAGCAAGAGCCACTGGCAGAGCAAACTTTGCCATCCTGTGGAGGCTCACTCAGGACGACTGCGAATGCCTGTCAGGGCAGTCAGTGTTCAGGAACTGGAGTACTTCACTTTTTTAAGTCAGCTGTGACCCTCGTCGTCAGTGGGTAAGCACTGGACTGCTTCTCTGTAGTTAAAAGAAGCTGAGAAACCCAAAGCAGAAGCAGCTTCTGTCTGGCCACAGCCAGAATTAGAGTTCTATTGTGCCTGTTTCTCACTATGCATCACTTTCCCTCACAGTCTCTTGAGATTCTTTTAATAAATGTTAATAACTGTGTATAGCATTTCTCCCTTGAGATGGATAAGAGCTTTACACACTCAGCATGTTTGGAAGGCATCACCTTTGTTCCAGGCCTGTGACAGTGCACACTACATCACAGCCCATGTATTCTAATAGTGTAGTGTCACTCTGAACTAGCCCAGTTGCCAACATCTGTATAATTGTGCCATGTAGGAAGTTTGTGCTTTTCCACCGTTGCATCTACCTTTTTCTAACTTTGGAAATGACAATTACCTGTCCTCTAACTTAGTTCCTTTCTTGAGGCAAAATAATGGTGATTGAATTTAACTTTCTCCACAAATAGTTCTTATACCCTTCAATTATTTTTATCCTCTTTATATTGAGCATGTTTCTTCATGAAAATGAATTATTACAAAGTATTTGATTATTAATAATCAACAAGTGCCAGGTGGTGGTGGTGCCTGCATTTAATCCCAGCACTCAAGGGGCAGAGGCATGTGGATCTCATGAATCCCAGGCCAGCCTGGTCTATAGAGTGAGTTCTAGGACAGACAAGGCTACATAAAGAAACCTTGTCTTGAAAAAACAAACAAACAAACAATCAACTAGAGATGCTGAAGAGATGGATCAGTGGCTAAAAGCAATTGTTGCTCTTACAGAGGACCCAGGTTCAGTTTCCAGCACCTACACAATGGCTTACAACCATCTGATGCTGCCTTCTAACCTCCATGGACACCAGGCATGCACATAGTGTGCCTGTGTGTGTGTATGTGTGTGTGTATGTGTGTATGCAAGGAAACTGATAATACATATAAAATAAAAATAAATCTTTATAAAAAATCAACTAGACATCAGTGAAATGCTAGTTATGGTGGTATCAAGCCATTGTGGCATCTCTGAAGAGAGGGGCATTCTCAGCCCCCTCACACCAAGGCACACGATAATTTCAGAGGCCACTTCTGTGACTGTTATCCTCACTCACAGCATCTCCTCCTTGTGGGGACAAGTGAACAGAAATAGTGAGTGAGCACAGTAAAGCTCACACTGTCAAGAAGGAACACCCACAAGACCTGCAATGTGGTGGTCTACAAAGGGTGGAAGAGCCAGATAAACCTGAATCCTCTCCCCTGCTTGCCTTTCTTCAGACCCCCAGATGTTTTGACATCCAGCAAGCAGGCTGGGGTTTCAGGCAGATAGGATTGGGGAGGAGCTTACAGAAGCCTTCATTAGGCTTGGGAGGCAGAGCTTCCCTCTTCATTGGCAGTACTATGAAGATATTTCCCAGCCTGCCCTGAGACGTCCTTAGAGGTCTGAGGGGTGTGAAAGTAATGCAGCAGACTTGATTTCTTCTTGCCTTGTGGCTCAATTTCTCATCCTATGGTCACTGCCATCCGACTTTGAGTTACTTCTCCAAATACGGCATTTCCTTAGCGCTCCACATCATAAATCACCTTTCCTCCACCCTCCCTACCCACAAAGATGCAGGTAGTGGAGAATATGCCGAGAGTCAACAAATGCCACTTTGTTCAGTCTCCCTTGGCCCCTGCAATGCAGTCCAGCCCCTTGGAAGCAGCCTGAGGCCACTCCTCTTCTCTCCTGACTGTGTGCACCAGAATCGCAGGCATCCCGTGCAGAGCTATTATGCTGCCTAATTAGCAGAACTGGCCTGTCTGATGTTTATGACATTGAAAATTGCAATCACCTGCCCAGCCAAGCAGACTACAACTTGCCTTCTTTGATTCAGGATTTAAAGAATAGTTAAGGAAAATGAAACCTTTGTATTCTTCCATTTCTTTCCATAAAGCAGAAATCTAGTTACTCCTCTTACCTGTCTCAAGACAGGCAAAAGTGGTGAGCATATAAAGTATCTGGTGTTGATTTGTGTCCATATCATATGCTCTCTCAATCAGACTTCTGGCTGTTTGGGCTACATAAATGCTCAATAGAGACGTTTTCATGCAAGCTCCAAGCTCTTCTGTCTCTCTTCCTCCTTTCAGTTTTAAAACTTCATTCCTTATCAAGGAATTGCCATGCCCTCAGTGGGAACTTATCTTGAGTATCTGTAAGGGCCAGATGGCCCATCAGGAATCTCATGCACAAGACCTCATGTAGACTCCACCCCAGCTCTGCCATGCTAGAGAACTGAGCTTGAATGCCTTAAGTAATGCAGTGAAGTTTCTCACTATAGTGTCTCGGGCCCTCTCTCTTGCTTTGTCTGTCACCTGCTCTTTTCTCTCATTGTGCCGAAATCACCCACGGGACACCTTTGGCTTTGGCATACCCCTTGTGATTTGTGTAACAGATGTATATATCATTCGGGTGTTTTAGTCTTTCTTGGAAGCAGTAAGCTCAACTAGCCTTCCTAAGTTTGAGAACATTTCAGAAGCTAATCGGTGATGGATCTGTATGCAGATGTAGGAGGGCAATGGGAAGACACAAAATAGGTTCTCTGACCTCTGTCCTGTGTTTTGATAGCTCCCAGTCTATCTTTCTATTTCAACCCTTCCCTCACTTCCTCCCTAACCTTTATAAACACTTGATCCATGGCTGTGAAACCACACTTACCTGTGATGGGAGAAAATGGAAAGACAGTGTCCATGTGTTTGCTCTCACACAGATTTGGAACTTATGAACATATCTAGAGTCAAGGGCTCCAGAAGAGAGAGGAAGTAGCCATATATTAATGTATGGACTTCGCTTTAAGAGCCCACCTGTTGTAGCCTGTTCTGTAGCCCAACTTAGATGGTCTCAGACTAGATCCAGGTTAATATGAAGTCTGTACACTCCAGCTTGTTAGACAGGCTGCATTATCTGTGTGTACCCTGCTATCTAGGAACACGCCTACCACTCTTCTGACTTGAGTTTTTCTAGTCATCTCTATGTGTTTACCCTTTCTTGTCCTATATTACATGTAATTGGTATATGCCTAAGGAAGCTAGAGGCTGTTGTTTTATATTTTTGTTTATCTTACAACTTGGTGCTTGACATAGTAAAGACCACTTTTCCATTCAGCTTCATTAAATTGAGATTCACTTGAAGCTAGAGAGAATTCAGCAACACTATCCTAATTGTACTGTAGACTATCCTGAGTGAGCCAATGTTCTCTAAAAGACATGTGTCCATTTTACTTCAGAGAGATTGAAAGTCTTAAGTGGAGTTTAGTATATCAATTTCTGCTTGCTTCTTTTTTCTTTAGTTGGAGCTAGACCTTCAAATGTGGTGAATACCTCTAGAATGTTCCTTAATAATGTCCTTCCTCCTTGTTAATTTCCTTCCCTGACCCCAGTGATTCCTAATGAAGAGGATGTGACAAAGTAGTAGGGAGATCCTTGTCACTTCCAAAATGAACCTAGATGATGGCTGTGTCTTTAATCTTAGACATCCCTTACTCCTTCCTTTTTGAGAGACCTGGCTGCTATATGCGAGCTGCTTTCAGGAGACCCTTGGATAAGGGACTGAAACCCTATGTTCACGGAGCACAAGAACAAATCCTGCCAGCAGCCCCTTTGAGTCAGTGTGGAGGAAGACATCTTGCCGGCAGAGCCTGCATATGAAGCCCCAGCCATGATGTAGCTCTTGTGGGAGACCTTCTGCCACAGTCATCCAACTAAGTATGCTTGGTCTCCAGGCCTACTACAAAACTGTGATGTAAGAAATGCTATTGCTTTAAGCTTCTGGGTGTTGGGGCAGCTTGTTTGGTAGCAATAGGTAACCAACTCAAGTGGCAAGTAAATGAAGCCTATCTTCAAGGGCTGGTGTCCCCAGTGAGAGAACGTCATGTCAAAGAGCAGGAGTGGCAGAGATGAGCCCAAACTGGTCACCAGAGACCCAGGTGCTTTCTGCCCCTTTTCTGTCCCCTTTGGGGTGATTTCCTTCTCAGGCCTCAAGCAAGAGGTCTGTGATTCTTTCATAGATTACATACAGACACCAGAATCTTCAGAGGGAGACAACTGTCTCTCCTAATCCCTTGTAGCAGGAAGCAAACTCATTAAAGGGTTTCTCCATGTCTCTTGATCACGCTGGAGAATACATTGGCCCAAGGCCTGACAAAAATGACATCACCTTAAATGAACCAGGCTCATCTAGACAGAGGCGTTGGGGACCAGCTCTCCTTGAGGCATTTGGAAGTTGATGGGTGGCACTGGGGTACCATGGTTAATATTGCGTACACAGCCAGTGGTGTCTGCCCTGCTTGTTAGAAGCCTACAGTTTGGTGGTTGTCTCCATAAGATAGGCTGTGAATGGGTGTAAAGAGAAGGTGCTGTGTCTTGGTAAAGGGCACATGAAAGAGTAATGTCAAAGACAGCACAGCCAAGGACCTGAAAGCCAGAAATCACCAGGGAATAGTCCTCTTGAGGAGGGACAGTGTCATGCAAGTCAAGCCACCTCAGACTTG